AATAACTAAAACAAAAACATTAGTATCTATAATAATAATAATACTAATAGAAACGTTATCTATAATTATTTTATTTAATGAAAGAGGTAGACGTAGGGCAACTTGCAATAGTCTTTTGTGTGGTTTAGCCTAATGTCTTGTACTGATCTTTGAAGAGCTGCTTTCTTTGTTAATAATTTTTTTTTACATGATGATGATATACAGTTAAGAAGGTGTGAATCAATTATTCACCAACTTATGTAATTGCATAAACATTTAATTGTTATAAGCATTTTGAAAAATCCTGCATCAGTCTAATCAAAGTTATGACTATAAAATTTAATTTACTATGACATATGGCTACAAAATGATTTAAAAACTACAAAGCTAGGCATATTGTAAGAAATAATATAACAATAAAGAATGTATAGCTATAATGAAAAATACAAACATAGTTACAGTACCTTCAACAGTAACCGTAAAATTACACCTATCATTGAAGTTACCACTTGAATCTGATACATTGTATTGCACTGTTGTGTGACCAATCAGAAACATATTGTCACCTGAGGTGTAGTCTGACTCTGGTTCTTGTGTTTGTTTAGAGTTATCAGTAGCAGTCGGTTCTGTCCATGTAACGTTAACAGCAACCGGTTGTCCGCTGGTAGTGTTAACTTTTATATCCATTGGACAATCTACAATTTCAGGCTTTTCTTCATCTTTCGGAAAAAATAAATGTGATTAAATTTATAATAGCTTAAAAGGTATGAAATGACACATTGATGCAAACACAATAACATAAGTTTATATAAAAAGATGATCAGTAGCAGCAACAGACACCTTATAATCAAATGTCTTTATATCTCCAATAATATTACCTTCAATTTTTAATGTAATATAGCATGTAGCTTCATTTGATGTTGGCGAAGCAGAGTCGACAAAGATGTATTCAATTACAGTTTCTCCGATTGGGAATACACCAGTAGTCTCAACCGCAGCATAAGCTGCATCAACGGTCATTGCAGCAGGGTTGATGTTTGTATAGTTTGTTGAAAACATAGCAACCTGAACGTTATCCATTACGGTAATATTGTAGTTTACGGTGCCATTTGGTTTTCCCTCATCAGTAACACCAGTTACTAGTGATGGACAACTAGGAACGGGTAGTTCTTTGTCTGGAAATTGGAATTTTCATGAAAAATACAACTAATTTACAAAAATAACTATATAGCTCGTAGTTATTTACAAGCATGACTCTTAGTCAACGACTAAGATCACGCAACAAACAAAAGCACTAACTAAAACAAAAACATTAGTATCTATAATAATAATAATACTAATAGAAACGTTATTTATAATTATTTTATTTAATGGAAGAGGTAGACGTAGGGCAACTTGCAATAGTCTTTTGTGTGGTTTAGCCTAGTGTTTTGTACTGATCTTTGAAGAGCTGCTTTCTTTGTTATTAATTTTTTTTTTTCATGATGATGATATACAGTTAAGGAGTTGTGAATCAATTATTCACCAACTTATGTAATTGCATAAACATTTAATTGTTATAAGCATTTTGAAAAATCCTGCATCAGTCTAATCAAATTTATGGCTATAAAATTTAATTTACTATGACATATGGCTACAATATGATTTAAAAAAAAAAAGGTAGGCATATTGTAAGAAATAATCATAACAATAAAGAATGTATAGCTATAATGAAAAATACAAACATAGTTACAGTACCTTCAACAGTAACTGTAAAATTACACCTATCATTGAAGTTACCACTTGAATCTGATACATTGTACTGCACTGTTGTGTGACCAATCAGAAACATATTGTCACCTGAGGTGTAGTCTGACTTTGGTTCTGGTGTTTGTTTAGAGTTATCATTGGCAGTCGGTTCTGTCCATGTAACGTTAACAGCAACCGGTTGTCCTCTGGTAGTGTTAACTGTTATATCCATTGGACAATCTACAATTTCGGGGTTTTCTTCATCTTTCGGAAAAAATAAATGTGATCAAATTTATAATAGCTTAAAAGGTATGAAATGACACATTGATGCAAACACAATAACATAAGTTTGTATAAAAAGATGATCAGTAGCAGCAACAGACACCTTATTTTTAAATGTCTTTATATTTCCAATAATATTACCTTCAATTTGTAATGTAATATAGCATGTAGCTTCATTTGATGTTGGCGAAGCAGAGTCGACAAAGATGTATTCAATTACAGTTTGTCCGATTGGGAATACACCAGTAGTCTCAACCACAGCGTAAGCTGCATCAATGGTCATTGCAGCAGGGTTGATGTTTGTATAGTTTGTTGAAAACATAGCAACCTGAACGTTATCCATTACGGTAATATTGTAGTTTACGGTGCCATTTGGTTTTCCCTCATCAGTAACACCAGTAACTAGTGATGGACAACTAGGAACGGGCAGTTCTTTGTCTGGAAATTGGAAATTTCATGAAAAATACAACTAATTTACAAAAATAACTATATAGCTCGTAGTTATTTACAGGCATGACTCTTAGTCAACGACTAAGAGCACGCCAAAGACAAAAGCAACAACTAAAACAAAAACATTAGTATCTAAAATAATAATAATAATACTAATAGAAACATTATCTATAATTATTTCATTTAATGGAAGAGGTAGACGTAGGGCAACTTGCAATAGTCTTTTGTGTGGTTTAGCCTAGTGTCTTGTACTGATCTTTGAAGAGCTGCTTTCTTTGTTATTAATTTTTTTTTCATGATGATGATATACAGTTAAGGAGTTGTGAATCAATTATTCACCAACTTATGTAATTGCATAAACATTTAATTGTTATAAGCATTTTGAAAAATCCTGCATCAGTCTAATCAAATTTATGGCTATAAAATTTAATTTACTATGACATATGGCTACAATATGATTTAAAAAAAAAGGTAGGCATATTGTAAGAAATAATCATAACAATAAAGAATGTATAACTATAATGAAAAATACAAACATAGTTACAGTACCTTCAACAGTAACCGTAAAATTACACCTATCATTGAAGTTACCACTTGAATCTGATACATTGTACTGCACTGTTGTGTGACCAATCAGAAACATATTGTCACCTGAGGTGTAGTCTGACTCTGGTTCTGGTGTTTGTTTAGAGTTATCATTGGCAGTCGGTTCTGTCCATGTAACGTTAACAGCAACCGGTTGTCCGCTGGTAGTGTTAACTGTTATATCCCTTGGACAATCTACAATTTCGGGCTTTTCTTCATCTTTCGGAAAAAATAAATGTGATCAAATTTACAATAGCTTAAAAGTTATGAAATGACTCATTGATGCAAACAGAATAACACAAGTTTGTATAAAAAGATGATCAGTAGAAGCAACAGACACCTTATTATCAAATGTCTTTATACCTCCAATAATATTACCTTCAATTTGTAATGTAATATAGCATGTAGCTTCATTTGATGTTGGCGAAGCAGAGTCGACAAAGATGTATTCAATTACAGTTTGTCCGATTGGGAATACACCAGTAGTCTCAACCTCAGCGTAAGCTGCATCAATGGTCATTGCAGCAGGGTTGATGTTTGTATAGTTTGTTGAAAACATAGCAACCTGAACATTATCCATTACGGTAATATTGTAGTTTACGGTGCCATTTGGTTTTCCCTCATCAGTAACACCAGTTACTAGTAATGGACAACTAGGAACGGGTAGTTCTTTGTCTGGAAATTGGAATTTTCATGAAAAATACAACTAATTTAAAAAAAAAATAACTATATAGCTTGTAGTAGTTATTTACAAGCATGACTCTTAGTCAACGGCTAAAATCACGCAACAGACAAAAGCAATAACTAAAACAAAAACATTGGTATCTAAAATAATAATAATAATAATAATAATAATAATAATAATAATAATAATAATAATAATAATAATAATAATAGTAATAATAATAATAATAATAATAGAAACATTATTCATAATTATTACATTTAATGGAAGAGGTAGACGTAGAGCAACTTGCAATAGTCTTTTGTGTGGTATAGCCTAGTGTCTTGTACTGATCTATGAAGAGCTGCTTTCTTCGTTAATTTTTATTTTCACTTGATGATGATATACAGTTAAGGAGGTGTGAATTAATTATTCACCAACTTATATAATTGCATAAACATTATTGTTATAAGCATTTTGAAAATTCCTGCATCAGTCTAATTAAATTTATGGCTATAAATTCACTCTGATATATGGCTCCAGTATGATTTAAAAACAACAAAGGTAGGCATAATAAATAATCATAACAATAAAGAATGTATAAATGAAAAATACAAACATAGTTACAGTACCTTCAACAGTAACCGTAAAATTACACCTATCATTGAAGTTACCACTTGAATCTGATACATTGTACTGCACTGTTGTGTGACCAATCAGAAACATATTGTCACCTGAGGTGTAGTCTGACTCTGGTTCTGGTGTTTGTTTAGAGTTGTCAGTAGCAATCGGTTCTGTCCATGTAACGTTAACAGCAACCGGTTGTCCGCTGGTAGTGTTAACTGTTATATCCATTGGACAATCTACAAATTCGGGGTTTTCTTCATCTTTCGGAAAAAATAAAGTAATGGGATCAAATTTATAATAGATTAAAAAGTTATGAAATGACACATTGATGCAAACACAATAACATAAGTTTGTATAAAAAGATGATCATTAGAAGCAACAGACACCTTATTATCAAATGTCTTTATATCTCCAATAATATTACCTTCAATTTGTAATGTAATATAGCATGTAGCTTCATTTGATGTTGGCGAAGCAGAGTCGACAAAGATGTATTCAATTACAGTTTGTCCGATTGGGAATACACCAGTAGTCTCAACCACAGCGTAAGCTGCATCAATGGTCATTGCAGCAGGGTTGATGTTAGTATAGTTTGTTGAAAACATAGCAACCTGAACGTTATCCATTACGGTAATATTGTAGTTTACGGTGCCATTTGGTTTTCCCTCATCAGTAACACCAGTTACTAGTGATGGACAACTAGGAACGGGTAGTTCATTGTCTGGAATTTGGAATTTTCATGAAAAATACAACTAATTTACAACAATAACTATATAGCTTGTAGTTGTTTACAAACATGACTTCTAGTTAACGACTAAGAGCACGCGCCAAAGACAAAAGCAACAACTTAAACAAAAACATTGGTATCTATAATAATAATACTAATAGAAACATTATTTATAATTATTTAATTTAATGGAAGAGGTAGACGTAGAGCAACTTGCAATAGTCTTTTGTGTGGTTTGGCTTAGTGTCTTGTTACTGATCTTTGAAGAGCTGCTTTCATAGTTATTAATTTTTTTTAAACATTATCATGATATATGTTAAGGAGGTGTGAATTAATTATTCACCCACTTACGAAATTGCATATACATTTATTTTGTTATAAGCATTTTGAAAAATCCTGCATCAGTCTAATCAAAGTTATGGCTATAAATTCACTATGACATATGGCTCCAGTATGATTTAAAAACAACAATGGTAGGAATATTGTAAGAATTAATCATAACAATAAAGAATGTATAGCTATAATTAAAAATACAAACATAGTTACAGTACCTTCAACAGTAACCGTAAAATTACACCTATCATTGAAGTTACCACTTGAATCTGATACATTGTACTGCACTGTTGTGTGACCAATCAGAAACATATTGTCACCTGAGGTGTAGTCTGACTCTGGTTCTGGTGTTTGTTTAGAGTTATCAGTAGCAGTCGGTTCTGTCCATGTAACATTAACAGCAACTGGTTGTCCGCTGGTAGTGTTAACTGTTATATCCATTGGACAATCTAAAATTTCGGGCTTTTCTTCATCTTTCGGGGAAAACAAATGTGATCAAATTTATAATAGATTAAAAAGGTATGAAATGACACATTGATGCAAACACAATAACATAAGTTTGTATAAAATGATGATCAGTAGCAGCAACAGACACCTTATAATCAAATGTTTTTATATCTCCAATAATATTACCTTCAATTTGTAATGTAATATAGCATGTAGCTTCATTTGATGTTGGCGACGCAGAGTCGACAAAGATGTATTCAATTACAGTTTGTCCGATTGGGAATACACCAGTAGTCTCAACCACAGCGTGAGCTGCATCAATGGTCATTGCAGCAGGGTCGATGTTTGTATAGTTTGTTGAAAACATAGCAACCTGAACGTTATCCATAACGGTAATATTGTAGTTTACGGTGCCATTTGGTTTTCCCTCATCGGTAACACCAGTAACAAGTGATGGACAACTAGGAACGGGTAGTTCTTTGTCTGGAATTGGAATTTTGATGAAAATTACAACTAATTATAAAAAATAACTATATAGCTCGTAGTTATTTACAGGCATGACTTCTAGTCAACGACTAAGAGCACTCAAAAGACAAAAGAAATAACTAAAACAAAAACATTGATATCTATAATAATAATACTAATAGAAACATTATATATAATTATTTCATTTAAAGGAAGAAAGAGACGTATGGCAACTTGCAATAGTCTTTTGTGTGGTTTAGCCTAGTATCTTGTACTGATCTTTGAAGAGCTGCTTTCTTCGTTATTAATTTTTGTTTTACATGATGATGATATCAGTAACACCAGTAACAAGTGATGGACAACTAGGAACGGGTAGCTCTTTGTCTAGTAATTGGAATTTTCATGAAAAATACAACTAATTTACAAAAATAACTATATAGCTCGTAGTTATTTACAGGCATGACTTCTAGTTAACGACTAAGAGCACGCAAAACACAAAAGCAATAACTAAAACAAAAACATTGGTATCTATAATAATAATAATAATAATACTAATAGAAACATTATTTATAATTATTTTATTTAATGGAAGAGGTAGACGTAGGACAACTGGAAATAGTCTTTTGTGTGGTTTAGCCTAGTGTCTTGTACTGATCTTTGAAGAGCTGCTTTCTTCGTTATTAATTTTTTTTACATGATGATGATATGCAGTTAAGGAGATGTAAATCAATTATTCACCAACTTATGTAATTGCATAAAGATTTAATTGTTATAAGCATTTTGAAAAATCCTGCATCAGTCTAATCAAAGTTATGGCTATAAATTTACTATGACATATGGCTGCAGTATGATTTAAAAACAACAAAGGTAGGCATATTGTAAGAAATAATCATAACAATAAAGAATGTATAGCTATAATGAAAAATACAAACATAGTTACAGTACCTTCAACAGTAACCGTAAAATTACACCTATCATTGAAGTTACCACTTGAATCTGATACATTGTACTGCACTGTTGTGTGACCAATCAGAAACATATTGTCATAACAATAAAGAATGTATAGCTATAATGAAAAATACAAACATAGTTACAGTACCTTCAACAGTAACCGTAAAATTACACCTATCATTGAAGTTACCACTTGAATCTGATACATTGTACTGCACTGTTGCTGTCTCTTATTGTCACCTGAGGTGTAGTCTGACTCTGGTTCTGGTGTTTGTTTAGAGTTATCAGTAGCAGTCGGTTCTGTCCATGTAACGTTAACAGCAACCGGTTGTCCGCTGGTAGTGTTAACTGTTATATCCTTTGGACAATCTACAATTTCGGGCATTTCTTCATCTTTTGGAATAAATAAATGTGATCAAATTTTTAATAGCTTAAAAGGTATGAAATGACACATTGATGCAAACACAATAACATAAGTTTGTATAAAAAGATGATCAGTAGCAGCAACAGACACCTTATAATCAAATGTCTTTATATCTCCAATAATATTACCTTCAATTTGTAATGTAATATAGCATGTAGCTTCATTTGATGCTGGCGAGGCAGAGTCGACAAAGATGTATTCAATTACAGTTTCTCCGATTGGGAATACACCAGTAGTCTCAACCACCGCGTAGGCTGCATCAATGGTCATTTCAGCAGGGTTGATGTTTGTATAGTTTGTTGAAAACATAGCAACCTGAACGTTATCCATTACGGTAATATTGTAGTTTACGGTGCCATTTGGTTTTCCCTCATCAGTAATACCAGTAACTAGTGATGGACAACTAGGAGCTGGTAGCTCTTTGTCTGGAAATTGGAATTTTCATGAAAAATAAAACTAATTTACAAAAATAACTATATAGCTCGTAATTATTTATAGGCATGAATTCTAGTTAACGACTAAGAGCACACAAAAGACAAAAGCAATAACTAAAATAAAAACATTGTTATCTATAATAATAATAAAAATAATACTAGTAGAAACATTATTTATAATTATTTCATTTAATGGAAGCGGTAGACGTATGACAACTTGCAATAGTTTTTTGTGTGGTTTAGCCTAGTGTCTTGTACTGATATTTGAAGAGCTGCTCTCTTCGTTATTAATTTTTTTTTAAACATCATCATGATATATGTTAAGGAGGTGTGAATTAATTATTCACCAACTTATGTAATTGCATAAACATTTAATTGTTATAAGCATTTAAAAAAATTCTGCATCAGTCTAATCAAAGTTATGGCTATAAATTCACTATGACATATGGCTGCAGTATGTTTTAAAAACAACAAAGGTAAAATATTGTAAGAAATAATCATAACAATAAAGAATGTATAGCTATAATGAAAAATACAAACATAGTTACATTACCTTCAACATTAACCGTAAAATTACACCTATCATTGAAGTTACCACTTGAATCTGATACATTGTACTGCACTGTTGTGTGACCAATCAGAAACATATTGTCACCTGAGGTGTAGTCTGACTCTGGTTCTGGTGTTTGTTTAGAATTATCAGTAGCAGTCGGTTCTGTCCATGTAACGTTAACAGCAACCGGTTGTCCGCTGGTAGTGTTAACTGTTATATCCATTGGACAAACTACAATTTCGGGGTTTTCTTCATCTTTCGGTGAAAACAAATGTGATCAAATTTATAATAGCTTAAAAGGTATGAAATGACACATTGATGCAAACACAATAACATAAGTTTGTATAAAATGATGATCAGTAGCAGCTACAGACACCTTATAATCAAATGTCTTTATATCTCCAATAATATTACCTTCAATTTGTAATGTAATATAGCATGTAGCTTCATTTGATGTTGGCGAGGCAGAGTCGACAAAGATGTATTCAATTACAGTTTCTCCGATTGGGAATACACCAGTAGTCTCAACCACCGCGTAGGCTGCATCAACGGTCATTTCAGCAGGGTTGATGTTTGTATAGTTTGTTGAAAACATAGCAACCTGAACGTTATCCATTACGGTAATATTGTAGTTTACGGTGCCATTTGGTTTTCCCTCATCAGTAATACCAGTAACTAGTGATGGACAACTAGGAGCTGGTAGCTCTTTGTCTGGAAATTGGAATTTTCATGAAAAATAAAACTAATTTACAAAAATAACTATATAGCTCGTAACTCTGGTTCTGGTGTTTGTTTAGAGTTATCAGTAGCAGTCGGTTCTGTCCATGTAACGTTAACAGCAACCGGTTGTCCGCTGGTAGTGTTAACTGTTATATCCATTGGACAATCTACAATTTCGGGCTTTTCTTCATCTTTCGGTGAAAACAAATGTGATCAAATTTATAATAGCTTAAAAGGTATGAAATGACACATTGATGCAAACACATTAACATACGTTTGTATAAAATGATGGTCAGTAGCAGCTACAGACACCTTATAATCAAATGTCTTTATATCTCCAATAATATTACCTTCAATTTGTAATGTAATATAGCATGTAGCTTCATTTGATGTTGGCGAAGCAGAGTCGACAAAGATGTATTCAATTACAGTTTCTCCGATTGGGAATACACCAGTAGTCTCAACCACCGCGTAGGCTGCATCAATGGTCATTTCAGCAGGGTTGATGTTTGTATAGTTTGTTGAAAACCTAGCAACCTGAACGTTATCCATGACGGTAATATTGTAGTTTACGGTGCCATTTGGTTTTCCCTCATCAGTAATACCAGTAACTAGTGATGGACAACTAGGAGCTGGTAGCTCTTTGTCTGGAAATTGGAATTTTCATGAAAAATAAAACTAATTTACAAAAATAACTATATAGCTCGTAATTATTTATAGGCATGACTTCTAGTTAACGACTAAGAGCACGCAAAAGACAAAAGCAATAACTAAAATAAAAACATTGGTATCTATAATAATAATAATAAAAATAATACTAATAGAAACATTATTTATAATTATTTCATTTAGTGGAAGAGGTAGACGTATGACAACTTGCAATAGTTTTTTGTGTGGTTTAGCCTAGTGTCTTGTACTGATCTTTGAAGAGCTGCTCTCTTTGTTATTATTCTTTTTTAAACATCATCATGATATATGTTAAGGAGGTGTGAATTAATTATTCACCAACTTATGTAATTGCATAAACATTTAATTGTTATAAGCATTTAAAAAAAATCCTGCATCAGTCTAATCAAAGTTATGGCTATAAATTCACTATGACATATGGCGGCAGTATGATTTAAAAACAACAAAGGTAAGAATATTGTAAGAAATAATCATAACAATAAAGAATGTATAGCTATACTGAAAAATACAAACATAGTTACATTACCTTCAACAGTAACCGTAAAATTACACCTATCATTGAAGTTACCACTTGAATCTGATACATTGTACTGCACTGTTGTGTGACCAATCAGAAACATATTGTCACCTGAGGTGTAGTCTGACTCTGGTTCTGGTGTTTCTTTAGAGTTATCAGTAGCAGTCGGTTCTGTCCATGTAACGTTAACAGCAACCGGTTGTCCGCTGGTAGTGTTAACTGTTATATCCATTGGACAATCTACAATTTCGGGGTTTTCTTCATCTTTCGGAAAAAATATATGTGTTCAAATTTATAATAGATTAAAAGGTATGAAATGACACATTGATGCAAACACAATAACATAAGTTTGTATAAAAATATGATCAGTAGCAGCAACAGGCACCTTATAATCAAATGTCTTTATATCTCCAATAATATTACCTTCAATTTGTAATGTAATATAGCATGTAGCTTCATTTGATGTTGGCGAAGCAGAGTCGACAAAGATGTATTCAATTACAGTTTCTCCGATTGGGAATACACCAGTAGTCTCAACTACAGCGTGAGCTGCATCAATGATCATTGCAGCAGGGTCGATGTTTGTATAGTTTGTTGAAAACATAGCAACCTGAACGTTATCCATGATGGTAATATTGTATTTTACGGTGCCATTTGGTTTTCCCTCATCAGTAACACCAGTAACTAGTGATGGACAACTAGGAACAGGTAGTTCTTTGTCTGGAAATTAGAATGTTCATGAAAAATACAACTAATTTACAAAAATAACTATAAATATCATATAGCCCGTAGTTATTTACAGGCATGACTCCTAGTCAACGACTAAGAGCACGCTAAAGACAAAAGCAATACCTAAAACAAAAACATACAGATAAAAGGTACAATTATGCAATTTTCCCTCCTTATTGCAAACGTACTCCAGTATAAATATAAATATAAATATATTATGAAGCACATACGGCAACACAAAAACATAATCCTAACTTCATGAATTCTACTATAATATACATTATCTTAGTTTCCTCTTATTAAATTCTATAATTGCGGACGGCAGAAAAGAGTTCCTAAATCTTTCGATTTTATTATTCGGTATTCTAATTCGTTCGGATTTTTTAAGCATTATTTCCCCACGCAAAGGGTATGTTTTTTCAGCTATGATTAAGTTTAGTTTCTTATACAAAAGGTCAGAGTATTAGAGAGCCTCGAGCTCCACCATGTTCTTTCTTACTACTTTACTAGCTACTCTAACAACTCTATCTAGCCTGCAATGGTTGGCCTTGGTTATACTGTTACCCCAAACAATACAGCAGAAACTTTCTTTTTTCTTTCTTTCTTTATTGTATACGCAAAAAAAACAAACAACTGGTATACAATAGGATATAAACTAAGTACTGATTGGATAACAGATACGTAAAACAATTCCATAAGCTTGCTACATAAATTGAACCTTTTCATCTTCCTTAAAAAAATACAGACGTATATTGCATTTTGCATATAATTTATCAGTATTGAAGTTCAAATTAAGTTTTTCATCCACAAAGTTCCCCAGATATCTGTACTAATATACAACCTCTACTTGTTTATTATTAATTAACAAAGTATCATGTTGTGTTACAGACTTCCTATGATCAATACTAATCTCTCTTGTTTTGTCAATGTTTAGCATCAAGTGGTTATTAAGGCACCAATCAACGAAAGAATCAACATGCTGTTTATATTTATCGACATGATCTTTCTCGATTAACCCAACAAGACAGGTGTCGTCAGCATATTTTATGTAAAAACAACTGACATCGGTAATAGGCGATATAAAATTCCTTTAATAAAGTGAAAAACGAACAGGCGATAAACTACACCCTCGTGGAGCACCAGTATTAGATAGTTTAGGCTTTGAAATATTGTTAAATTCGTACTGTTTGTGGCCTGTTAGATAAGAACTCTGATATCCATATATTAAGTACTGGGTTAACATTCATCTCCGTAAGGTTTTCATCAGTAAATAGGGTTGTATCGTATTGAAGGATGATGAGAAATCCAGAAACAAGATTCTGGCGCAAGTTGCCTTTCTCTCCAAGCATTTGGAGGGAAAGGCAATTTGTGCCAGAGTCTTGTTTCTGGATTTCTCATAATAATAATAATAATAATAATAATAATCGTAATAGAAACATTATTTATAATGATTTTATTTAATGGAACAGGTAGACATAGGGCAACTTGCAATAGTATTTTGTGTGGTTTGGCCTAGTGTCTGTACTGATCTTCGAAGAGCTGCTTTCCTTGTTATTAAAATTTGCTTTTATTTGATGATGATCTATGTTAAGGAGGTGTGAATTAATTATTAATCAACTGATGTAATTGCACAAACATTATTGTTATAAGCATTTTGAAAGATCCATCATCAGTCTAATCGACGTTATGGCTATAAATTCACTATGACATAAGGCTGCAGTATGATTTAAAAACAAAGGTAGACATATTGAAGAAATAATCATTATAATAAAGAATGTATAAGTAATACCGAAAAATAATCAATACAAGCATAGTTACAGTACCTTCAACAGTAACCGTAAAATTACACCTATCATTGAAGTTACCACTTGAATCTGATACATTGTACTGCACTGTTGTGTGACCAATCAGAAACATATTGTCACCTGAGGTGTAGTCTGACTCTAATTCTGGTGTTTCTCCAGAGTTATCAGAAGCAGTTGGTTCTGTCCATGTGACATTAACACCAACTGGTTGCCCATTGGTTGTGTTAACTGTTATATCATTTGGACAATCAACAATTATAGGATCTTCTTGATCTTCTGGAGAAAATAAAAACAATTAATTTGATCTAATTTGAAATCACTTAATAAGGAGTGATTTTTTCACCCTAAATGACAACTTATAGTACTAAGTGGTCAGTTCGTTCCCAATTCCCAAAAGGGAATTCGTACCAGATCAGCTTTGATTAATTTCAATAATAACAATAACAATAAAAATAATAATATTAATTACCCCCGGTCTCTGGATCAAATACATGGAACAACATTCATGCCCCAAAAATGTTGCAGCTGTAATCAGCGCATGGTTGTGTTTGGACCTACCAAGTACCCACTTCTACTCCTGGGTGGAGAGAGACAACCGTAGATAAAGTGCCTTTCCCAAGGACACAAGCGACTTGCACAGCGAGAGTTTCAAACCCCCGATCTCAAGGTTGGGAGTCCAAACCACAACCGATGCGCCAACCACTTTTACATCAACCTATCTTTAACAAGCGCATTGGTAACAAATCTTTTTTGTGCGAGTTGCCACTCATCTAGAATAACCTTCCAGTGCACATTCGATCGTCACCATTTGTGGCTGTCTTTAAGTCTAACTTAAAGATCTTTAACTAATTATCCCATTTTTATTCTTGTTTTATTTATTGTTGCATTATTTATTTGATTCCAAACTTTGCCACTGCTTCTCTTGATTTGTTTACTTGTTCTGTGCTTGGGTCAGGCAATAATCACGGCTGCGTGTGGGTTGTGAGGTGCCTAAATATGTGGGGTGCAGCGCTTCATATCTGCAAAGAAAGGTGCTTTACAAATGTTCTGATTGGATTGGATTGGATTACTTTAAAAAAAAATCTTCCAAGTAATTTTTTTCGCAATGATTTGGAAACATATTAAGCATTTAGTACGATGACAGGTCAAGTAAGACAAAAATATTATTACAAACCTCCTGACGCAAACTACAAAGAAAAGAAAAAACTACATCGGAAAAGAAATTATTTAATAGCCTATGAAGGTATTAAAGGACACATTGATGCACTTAACCTTAATAAAATATTCAATATCATTTTTGGTTTCCACAAATTATAGGCCAAAAATGCAACACAAACAATTACTATACAATAATTCTTTGCTATATTTTTTTGTTTGCATTAATGTTAAGTCTGCATCCCGCATCATTGGAATCGAGCAGCCTTCAATAGATGTAATCTATCATGAAACGTATGGTTAAAAAGGCAATGGCGATTGCTGGGGACAGAAATCACCCAGCCAACCATTTATTCACTCTGATACGGAGTGGTCGCCAATATCAATCACTAATGACCGGGAGGGGTAGATCTCTACGTAGTTTCTATCCCTCCGCCATTACGACATTGAACAAATCTCTAGAGTAGTTTGAATTTTCGTATTTTATGTTTGTTTTTGTTGTTGTTAAGGAACTAGACCGAATTTCATTGTATGTGTATTGTACATGTATGCATGAAAAATAAATCTATTGGGTATTGAGTATTATAGCAATAGCCATAATAGCAATAATATTTTATATTCTAATCTTTCTGGTAATGTAAATTATCAGGTTGTTTATTTTATTAATTATTATTATTTTTTTCTTACCCACGTCACAGATATCGCCAACATATCCAGTTCCAACGCAGTTGCATACATAGCTGTCCGTTCCATTCATCTGGCAAACGCCATTGTTTGCACAAGGACTTGGTGAACACGGATCATCTAGATAGACAAACAAGTCAGAAATTATATACTGTATTACTGATTTGGCAGAATGATTGCTGAGTCTGATTGACTTACACTCATAGTAAACCCCATAGCTTGAAATGATAAACACAGCCTGAGATTACTTAAACATGTAATCAGTACATTGCCACAAAATACTAATAGGCTAATAATAATAAGGCTAATAATAATAATAATAATAATAATAATAATAAGGCTAATTATAATAGACATAAAAATAAAAATAATAATAATAATATGATTATTATTAACAAATTAATAATAATAACCATTATCATTATTATTACATTATGGATGGATGGATGGATGGATGGATTTATTCGGTGTAAACATCAAGGATAATTCACGAAAGTCTAAAGAAGACGTATCTTTAATAGAGTCCTTCTGGTGGTGATTGGGCAGTACGCCGGGGGACAATCCCTACTGGATTTTGTTTCCGAAAATTGCACTGCGTTTTTTTTTTAACGTGCACATGGGCCATAATGCACACAGGACCAACGGTGTAAACGTGTCATCCAACAGACAGTGCACTATCGTAACTTGCATTTCAACTCTCCAGCTGAAATACAAGGAGAGCAACGATGGGAATTGAACCGGGGTGACTTTTTTCCCGTACGAAACATATCTAGACTTTCCATACAATATAATTCTCTTATTTTTAACTACTAATAATTTTACAATAGTTTGTCTATATTTCGTTCTATGATTAATCATTGGAATAGATGAGACTATTGTTTGTGTACTCTTTCGTCTCTATATTTTATATTTTTTAAATTTTATATATTTTACCAGCCTGTTAGTGGCGATGATTCGCTGTTGGTCTGATGAAATGAAATAAATAAATAAATAAATAAATAATCAACTGTCCAACAAAATCTATAAATGGTGCTCATATCTACACCCTGCAACGGATCATCACCAAAATGTTATCATTTCCTTATTTGACCACGAAAAACTATTCTACATAGTGAAATGACCCTAATATTTTCCTTAAGTGCATTGTTCCCAACACATACTAATTTCTTCCTTGTAACTTTGTTAAACTTTCCCAAAAACTAATTCAGATCAATTTACCCGTTTTTTTTTAAATATCTGGTGTAGTGCTAGCCCTTAAATTACTTTAATTGGTCCTCACATGCAAACCCCACCCTAGACTGACATTAAATATTAGGAGGCACATTCTTAATGTATGGTCTATGTTTCGACAAAGCATGGAATAGTTCCAAGCATGGGAAGTGACCAAAGTGCCGGGCAGAAAAATGCGGTCCAAAAATATACGGGAAAAGTATGCAAGATAAAAAAAATAGATTTACTATATCTGTTGTACAGGACATAGAGCTATTATTCATTGCTATAATGTGAAATTAAGTTGAAATTGCGACAAAAAGAAAAGTTGTTAAAAAGTATAAAGTTAAAAAAAAAGTATGAAAAATCCAAAATATTTATACTGTAGTATGCTAAAAAAAACATTAAGAGGTTTAAAAAAAATACAATGAAAACCATACAAGTGTTGATGATGTCATGCAAGATGGACGTGAAAAACTTCTCTCTTGATTTCGTATTGTTTTTCCTGCTTTTGGACTTTTCCCTTGATGTTCTATACACAAGAGAGGTAATTTTTAACATTCGTTGGTCTTCGCCTTCAGTCATATTGTCCGATTTGGAGATTGCTCTAAATGATCTTAATATTATTCGGCCAAGCCTGATTGATAGCAAATATGAATAAATTTTCATTCCTGATGATGACATAATTAATGTCGAAATATTGAATCCCGACACGATGGCGTGCATTTCGATACTTGGATTATACCATCTTATACTGTATAAAATCATAGAACTAAAAAGAGAAAAGTGTTCCGAATCATGATCGTATAAGACCCCGCACACAACAAGCTTAGTGTTGTTTTCGATTTGTAGGTCAGAGAACAAGTTGGTCATTGATGTAATATAATCAGATTTCTTCATTATCGCAATACCATTTACTTTATCAGGTCTAAGAATTACATATTTAGTGAGTAGGATTTTTAAAGTATTAATACGTTTGGCATCACAATTTAATTTGCAGTTAAACCATATAATAACTTAACTGGCGAAACATTATCTAAGGAAAAGGAATCTGTCTTAACATTTGGTGTCCGTAATGGATTAGCAACACGACCTAAGGATTCTTACATGTTTGTTTACGCAGAAATAAATTTGGGAACAACTTCATAATGCTGATGTTCTACCCAAATCATTTATTAAACGTGAAAAGATTAAGAACCCAATTTGTGCCATGACATGTAACTTTCTTGATTTTGATAACCTCAACACAAAGAAATTCGTCCAGTATCAACCATGCCTGCCTAAATTACATAAGGATTTTGACAATATTCCACCTCTAAGACCTATTATTGATACAATCGGCACTTGTTATTACTCAGTAGCTAAGTTCTTATCTAAATTAATGACATTGTCCTTAAAGATTTGTTTGATGCTGCTGACCGCATTAAAGGTATACCATACCATTTATATAACTTAGGTTACCGTTTTGTATCTTTTGATCTTGCCAATCTCTGTTTACAAAATGTTCCCCTTACTAAGGAAATTAATATAACTCTTGATAGGGTTTACAATAAGAAATTGAAATCTACTAATCTTTAAAAAATATGTTAAGGAAACTACTTAGGGATTGCTGTACTAAAACTGTATTTACGTGTAATAATGAATTCTATAAACAAACTGACAGGTTTCAATGGGCTCACCCCTTGGACCAGTTTTAGCCAACATTTTAATGACTGAACTAGAAGAGTCTATTGTTCCTAAATTTATAGAATCAGGTATTATTAAGTTTTATACTTGTTTTGTTGATGACACACTAGTGCTAGCTAAACCTAACGATTTTCATCACATCCTACGTCACTTTAACGCTTTTCATAAACAGATTAACAGTGAACAGTGATATAGTACATTTTCTGGATTTACAATTTGACAACAGCGTAGGAAGCATGAGTATATATCGTAAAAATACACATACAGGTCAATATAACCATTATGATAGCTTTGCCCCATGGAACCATAAGATTTCTTGGATTTGTAGTTCCAAGAGCCCACAAACTGTGTACTCACGATAAACTTCAAGCAGAACTTTGTAACATTAGAAAATTTATGTCATGGAATGGGTACCCTTTAAAAGTTGTTAACCATGTACTCAATAAATTAAATACATAGGAATACTGATAATAGCTTGATTAAGATTTGGGTTAGATTGGCTTATCTAGGAAAGGCGGGTGAATCCATTTTACGTAGATGCTTAAACAAAGTAAAGAAACACTTAGTTAAAGAGGTAAAATTCATAACATTATGGCAGTACAAAAATGTCTCTCATTTTATATCTACCATACTAAAGATCAAACCCCTAAGGAGCTCTATTGTTTATCATTTTAAATGTTTATATTGGCAAGAGAGATAGATGCTTAATAACTAGACTTAAAGAACATTCTTCACGATCTGATAGTGTTATAAATGATCATATACAAAATTGTGAGGCATTCCAATGTTTTAGGTTTACAAGGTATACTTTAAAATGATAATGTAGCCTTTAATGTAAGTAAAAAATTAGGTCTATTATTTATTATTTTCTAATACTAACCATGGAGGTAAAAAAAATCATTTTTTCCTCCATGTACTAACATTATTGACAGTTCGCAAAATTGGTCTATACTATTGTTTAAAGAAGCGTTTGCAATACCACATGGAGGAAAAAAATATTATTTTTTCCTCCATGGCTATACGTAGGCTACACCCATTGCTTAACAATGGGCTGAAAGCTTCAAATGAGCTTTCTGTGTTCTTGTAGGTACCTTTGATATCAGTAGGGTAAGAATGCTTTGATCTTTAGTTTACTCATAACTATGTCACCTACTAGGGGTAATGTTTTGATTGGTCCAACACTTTTGGTACTTGTGCATATAAGCTTGCAAATATGGATAATTTTTCATTCCTGATGTTGACATAATTAATGTCGAAATATTGAATCCCGACAAGATGGCGTGCTTTTGGATACGTATGTATTATTCTATCTTATATTGTATAAAATCATAGAAGTAAAAAGAGAAGAGTGTTCCGAATCATGATCCGATACTATCTTATTTGAGATTAATCAGACTTTTCGGTTTTATAAGGTACAATATGTTAGCAGAAATACAAGATTTTATCGAATTTCAGATGTGATATTTAATATAATGTTAAACATTCAAAACGTTCCCATTTTTAACTGGATTGTTGATTGCGATCACAAATCCGTTTCCCTTTACGTGTTGCTGACAACCAGCAACTATATACACATCGACACAATTTTAAAGCAAATGTTTTATGTACAGATCCTCAATCCATTAATCACCTTAAAATTGCCCTTGAGCATACAGATTGGTCATATTTTGAACATTTATTGGACTCTCATCCGCACTTATATTGTTACGATAACTTTATTACGTATACTAAATCATTATTAACTTCTAAGTTAGGCTTTAAAACTGTCCGGAAACACTCTAATGATGCTAAGTGGCTGAGTCCTGGCCTTAAGAAATTCATTTCATTACGCCAATAGGCGTGGTTTAATGACCACGATCTCTTTGATAACCTCAAAGGATGGGTCTGCTTCCATGTGCGCAAGGCTCTAAGTGTTCATATAATGAAAATATTCTTTATAATCTTAAGAAAGGGTCTTCCTCGTGGTGGTCAGAGATTAACAAAATTATCTCATCTAAGAAGAAATCTTGTTCGGCATTGTTTCTCCTAGTGGAAATCAAATAAATGACTCCTTTGCTATTGCCTTCTATTTCAACACTATATTTTCTAATCAGTGCTTTAGTGTCAATTATTTCTCTCTTCCTGCTACCTGTCCCCCTTCCCCTCTTGCGACTGCTCCTCATTTGTTACTCTCGATGAATTTAATGATGACGTTGAAACCCTTAGTAATTCAAAATCTCCTGGTCCTGACAATATCAGTAATGTTATCATCAAACACGTTTCTCCTTTCTGTTCTTTATTGCGTACATTTTTCTGCTGATATTTGTAAGGCTTTTGATTCTGTCCCCATTTTCCTCTCCTTTGCGAACTTTCACACCAATTTAGAATTGACTCTATGAACATGGATTGTATTGGGAATTGGCTATCATGCCGGTCTCAACAAATTACTTTCAATTATGTTTTTTCTAATAAGTTAAACTTTACAAGCGGAGTAGTGCAAGGAAGCAAACTTGGGCCTGTATTTTTATGTTTTATTAATGATGTTATTGAACACTATACCTGTAGTACTTCTTTATTTGCTGATGATATCCTGCCATGATTATCTGCCTACCGCTGGCTCTCTGCTTCAAAATTGGTCACAAAAATGGACTCACCTTCTTAGCATCCAAAAGTCAACTAATGAACTAATATATTGGCGCAAATAACCTTTGTCTTTCTCATGTCTGTCTTTATGGTTCAGTTATCAACACGGTTCATCAAACCAAATACTTGGGAATAACCATAATACATTATCTTAAATAGCATGCCATAGATGGGGGGGGGGTCCCCGACGAGGTGGCTAATGCCCCCGACGAGGGGTCTGCAGATTTCCCCGACGAAAGCAATGTGGACGTGGTCGAGCTTCGATTAAAAGGTTTCAAAAGTGGTCAAAGTGGTCCCCGTTCCCCCACCCCGCAAGCGCCACCCCTGCTTCTTCCAAAATTTTACAAACGCTTTATCCAACGTATCGAAACGTTCCTTGCCAAAATCACTGATCCCACAGATTTTTCTTCTAACACATGCATTCGGCATTGTTCCATTCGACTCGCGCCACAAGTATTATACTTTATGTTCTCTTGATAATATTTTCGAATCGCCTGACCATCCCTTACATTCAATTCTTCTACCTCGAAGATTGTCCTCCATCATGTTACGAAATTGTTGTCATTCTGATTTCTTGCCCTTCCATGCTCGAACTTCTCGATTTCTCAATTCTTTTTGCCATTTGCTGTGCGGCTTTCATACGACCTCGCTCTCCTTAACACCAAATCCTCTCCTTCCGACAATAAAACCGCTATTTTAATGTTGGCCAAATTATAGTTATGCATTGTTGTAAGTTACCTCTTGTATATATTGTATGTTTTGTATTTATTGTTCGTGTTTGGAGAATAATAGCCCTTGATGGTTGATGTAGCAATAAAATTTGAAATTTAAAAAAAATTGAAGTCCATAACTACATTAGTGAGACTTGAACTATGGCTGCAATGGTACATAGCAAGGTACATCAAAACTCATAACCATTGCACGTTATATGAGCCGAACTTGTATACTATAGGTTATTTTTTTACAGACAATAACCTAATTAGCAATAAATACAATTTTAATGATTTCAATAAATATGATTAACAAACATATAGAAAATTCTTTTTATAGTATCTCTTATAGTTTACAAGCTGTTAGCAAACTACTTGGCTGTGTATTTGTACACTTGTATCGATTGAAACAGTGCTTGTGCACAAATATTATACATACATTCATCATATAATTCGAAAAACACTTAAACCATAACTGACATTGAAAGATAACCATTTTAAGACAAATTTATTGTCCTCACCGTAATGTTCATTTTATATGCCTTTTATTTTTGCTTCCCCTTTGTTTTTGATGCAGTTTACGCGTGGACTTATTCTATACGTGTAGGTGAGGGCGATCAAGACGCCTCGTCTATTAATTTTGAGTAATGCAATTTTAATTAGGAAGTGTAAGGCAGTATTACATACTTGAAGGTATAGGCTGGGTAGACTCATCGACCATGTCAATCGTGTACACCAAAGTATCCAGATATATTTCACCTTCAAGTTCACCAGAAATCTTGTGTATTGCTTTAATGACCGAAGGTCCTGGCTCATCTACTAATATTAAGAAGTCCTAGAGAAAAGAAGTACAATATCATTTTTCTTGTAAATAATCATTATCACCATCATTTTTGTCGTCGTCACCGCCGTAGTTGTCTTTGTCGTCATCGTTGTCATAAGCATCATTATCATCACAATTGTTTAGAACCCCTCTTCCAAAACTTTTTCTCAGGAAGCAAAGTTGAGATTTCCCACTCTAGCCATGTTATTTTTAATTCTATTTCTGAGATTCATTCGACTATGCTCTAATGTATTCAAGGTAAATTTCAAGATCAATCCACCGTCAATTGTCTACCTCGAGAAGTGACATTAACAGGCTGGAATTACGATACACCATTGGCATAGTCTCCGAAAAAACAAAACCATTTAGGTAGATTTTACGTTCGATAATAATAACATCATTATCACAATAAATTTTGATACATTATAATTATTTATATGTTTGTGTGTTTGTCAGGGTGGCACAAGGATTTGCCCGATGGGGGCCCGGGTCCCCGACGGGAGGGGGGGGGCCGATGCTCCCGACGAGGGGGAAAATTTCCCTGACGAAAGCAAAGTGAGCGTGGTCAAGCGTCGATTAAAAGGTATTAATAGTGGTTGCAGGAGGCGAAGCCCCTGCAGGGCACAGTTTTCTCAAAAACAATCCATGACAAAACAAAAACGTACTGGCATGAATTTCGTAGCGGTACAGGTGAAAACAGTTTGGCCGAGTGGTTAGAAGAGTGTGCATTACATTATTGATTCCAGGTTCGAATTCCATTATGTCCTTTATTTTTTCTTTTCATTATCATTTATTTTATTGTCCGTACTAAAATTAACATCTTATTACCGGTCAAAAGCCATTGAGGCATCAGTTTCATTGCGCTGCACTGCACCGAATACATTTTTTGTGAAGGGGGTAATGTGCATGGGAAGTTGCTAAATACAACCACTTCAGCCGAGGGAGGAGTGGCTTGTATGGTGACGTCATACATAATTATAATGTTTCTACCTGAAAATGGTAAAGGTATGGCTGGGAACTTGTAAAGCGCATACTACATGGTCTCTATACGTCACATCATACATCACACATACACCATGTAGGTTAGCACAAGGCTAAGATTATTTTTTTTATTAATTTCATTTCCAAACACACGCATTGAAACACAATTTCGTTGACGCACAGATATTTACAATAAAATTAACATCACACATGCAAAAAAACAACAATAAGCAAAATTTGTAGCAATATGACCTATAATGTGTTAGTAAATAGCCTATATAATCATAATTTTTTATTATTGATACAAAATTGTAGTTATGATATTCTATTTCAATTGTTTCCATTTCACATTATGCAGATGCAACTTATTGTTCTCCTATGCGCTATGTTTTTCTATTTCTACATTTTTTTACAATAGCATTGAAACCATTGTGGTAAAGAGAAACCTCAAGGTAGTTAGTTAAAAATCTACATTTTGGCTGTAATTATTAACGTATTTATTGCATCAAAGCTATTCCCTGTTCCCACACCAAAGAATACATTCACATTGTTAATTATTAAGCTAAAATCCTGTTTCGTATTAATATAATATTTAAATGATTGCCAAAAAGACTCAACCTCAATACAATTAAAGAATAAATGTGAGATCGTTTGAACTTCCTTCTTACAAAAATTACATATGGTGAGTCAATCTTGTGGATTTTATAAAGAAAATTGTTTTGTTGTTATTCTTCTATGAAGAAATTTATACTGAAAATTTTTCAATTTACAATTGACTGTATAAGAGTACATCTTAGTAAACACATGCTCCCATTCTATTTTCATTTTAAGCAATTCTTCCCATTTTTGCATAGCTATACCTATCCTCGTCTCTTTATTTATGGTTTGTTTATACACAACTGGCAAACTCTGCTTGTAATTTGCAGATTTTTATGCACTTAATTTAGGAGAGAATATGCCAACTCTTATAGACTAATATGAACCCTAGGAACAGCATGGAATGTTAAGAATCTCCAAGACGGCAACATTTTTGAGACGGTAAAATTATTCATTTATAGGCCCTAAACCCTCATTTTTAACTCTAGTTTTACAAGATTAGATTTTATATGCAAATTATCTCCATCATTTAGAAGTGAATGGTTTTTTAATAACTTTAACAACTTTAAATACCAATTTAACTACTCTTTCTTAGGCTGTCTAGATTGCCTTCCCCACACGCTCAAACAAAATACAAAGTAAACAGACCACTTCAGCAGGCCCAGACGGCTAACAGCTAACATGTATGATATCGTGCGAAAATATGTGCCTGCTGTAGGTCTTACGACAGATCTGGCTAAAATTTAACAGTTAAGATTTCATTTTCAATGTTTACTGCAGAAAATAACAAATTTTATATTGAGTTTAGGATTAGTTCCGTTTTTTACAATTGGCTTATCTTTAAATAACTACAACTCCATTTATATTCAAATTGTAAGCTATTTCCGGCCCTCTAGGTACCGTAATTATATATATTATTACCTCAGCCCCAACAATGGTGGGGCAGGAGTGGTCTACACTGTAGACTCTCCATCTGTGAAAGGGCCTGTTTCTGCTGAGCAAAAAAACACGTATTTTTAAACAGTTATTAAAAAACATGTGTTTTTTCCCCAGTAGAAACGGGCCACAAAACAAAAAGAAGGTTAGGAATGCGTTCTAAAAATGCATGTTTTCACACGCATTCGTTATAGGGTTCGCGTTCAGAAAACGCGTGTTTTGTGGTACACTTTTCAGCTGCAACGCAATACCGTGTTAGTCATGACCCGTCGATGATCAAAAATGACCTCATCGTTAGTTTGATCGCTCGTCCACGGGAAATTCGGGGCAAAGAAAAAAATTAAACCAATAGGATGACATGCTTGAAGATCATACCATACTTTTTTCATACTTTCGTGGTGTGTTGTTTACTTCTTTCGCAGCATGTGCTGTAGCTCGCAAGAAGTAAGGTCAGCTTCAACTTCCGCTGGTGACCGTCATTTAAGCTCCGCCCACTTGCCAATGCGCGCATTTACCGTGTTTTTATTAGTTGCAATTTTCACTAGAAATGCGTTCAGAAGGAATTTAACCATTTATAAAAAAAAACGTGTTTTTGGCGTTATTTTCAGCAGAAACACGCCCATAGTCTAACCCAGCCCTGGATCCGCCACCAAAGTTCATAGGTGCCACTGGTTCCGCCACTTAGGCTTCTGTCAAGAGGATTGGCCTTTCCGTCAGAGACATCGAACCCATTGGGCTGGTGTCAAAACACCACTGGAAATTATGCCAAATAGTGGATCTGCTTATTCACAAAGTAATGGTTAATCTAACAACAGTTTTATATCAGGGAGTCTGGTCACGACAAAGTTATTTACTATTAGTTGTGGAATATAAAATAACGCCCTCTGTAATTTCTTCCTTAAGTGTATGGGAAACAAAAATAATGCAGCCCATAACAATTAGAGGAATCAAAGGATTCAAAAAGCTAATAAATTTGAATGCCTCGCATTATCTTGAACTTTATATAAATTTGTATTTCACACGCCCCCCCCCCCCCCCCCCCCCCCCCCCACAAATAGTTTTTTGCTTCCCAACAGGGAGTGGCTGCTCTGTTCGAAGGCAAGGTATTACTCATTGGACCATTTTTGCTTTTTTCAATGCTATGGTATAATTAGCTACAAGACGTATGAAAACAAATTTTATTCTCCGACATGGCGAAGGCGGGGGAAGGGCGCCATTACTGCAAATTCCCCTTTTCCGTTTTTAAGTACTTTCATGAGTAACAAAACCATCTTGCATTAAATACTATTAAAATGATGAAATTTACCCTTTACATGCCAGAATGCTTCAACTCCTGAGGCTTTCCCCTCCCCTCCTCTCCCCATAGTACGTTAAAGTGTTAAAATAAACCTTTCTAAAAGATATTTTGAACCAAAAAGTTGAACCATCTAAGATTATAGAAACTACATTGTATAAATGATAGTAGTACCTGCTCCTATGTACAATAAACCTATTTGCTACACTGAGGCCGAAAAATCACGCTGTTGTGAGTCAATTAATGCTACCCCAGAGAAAACATCTACCACAACAAGCAAATTAGAGTTCACAGAATATAGTTATCTAAATTAAGGAAGCACCGTGTTTTATTTGAAGGGAAATGATAAACTATCCTGCAGGATTCACCTCTTTTCGACGTTGAAAAATCACGCCATTGTAATTTTTTACAACATAACACGGAGTAAAATCGTGTAGTGTCACGTAAGACGCATCAATATTCTGACCACGTGCTCCACTTTTCGCACGCCTTCCCAAGTAAAATTAGGCCTAGTGAATGTCCATGGTACGAGAGTTCACGCAAATCCAAATGATTTCGCACTAGCTTACCTCTAATATTTGGATTTTAGCCCTGAAATTATAGCAGCTCGACCTTTATACTTGAAAGATACATACCGTGAGAGAAGCCACAAAAGTAAGGAGCTTAGTGACCTCTACAGTTTAAAAACATGTATTTTAAGGCTGAATAAGTAGTTTGTGTTCCTCCAGGCCCCATTGACTGAGAGTATACCACGATTTTTAATTTTAACACTTATTAGGCCCTTCATAAAAAGATACATGTCATGAGTGCAATACATATATTTTACTGCTGAATGAGTTGTTTGTGTTCCTCCGGGCTCCTGCTGACTGTATATACCATGTACGGCGATTTCCAATTGACATTTATGACTCGGCTTTTGGAAATAATCATTTTCATCCAAGGTAAGCTGACAAGTATTTTGTGTGCACTTTCTTAGTAATTAAAAGTTTATAACCAGGGTCATGCAAAGAAAAATACATGGATTATGGGTATAAATTATGTGGCTTTTAGCCATTGATGAGTGAGTTCGAGTGACAGTTTCTCTAGACTATTGAACACCACGGTTTCCTATGTAAATCGCCCTATGTTCATATGTTGGATATTCTAAAACATAAATTCCAAAAATTTCCCCATCACTCCCCCAAAACGTTTCATACTTTTAATTTCCCAAGCTTTCATATCTCGGTATCTTTATTACAAAACATGTCATCATAAAATATACATTTGCAACCAAAGGCTAAATTTCTGCATTTTATTACAAAAGGTAACATAAAGGTAAACATTAATTAAAACATCAATATTAAGTAATGAAAAAAACCTAAACAATTGGGAAAAAAGGACAGTGAGAAGGTTTGGAGAGACATATTTTACACCTTGTGTCGCAAAAACACGGCCCCAAAACATTGATGACCCCGAATAAAAAAAATTACCCTTGGCCAGCTAGCGCACCCGCCGCTATGATACCCCAGAAAAAATAAACTAAAAGTTTCTCTTCCACCACGCCTACTGTACCACGGCCCCGAAATCCCCAATTATAGGACATGCAAACTTCTTCCCAATCATATAAATTTTAAGCACCCAACCACCACACTGCCCACATTCAACAACAAATCTCCATTCCTATCCTCCTCCCAGTCCCAGTGAAAAACATTTGAAAACAACAACTTATTGCCAACTTTTTCATCAATATACTAATATTGTGAGAAATGAAGCCTCTGGTAGCAAATATTTTGTCTATGATGCTCTAAAAAATACTTAGTGTGACCCAAGGCTGACTGACCCAATATTTCGAACAAAAATTGGATCAGTTAGGTTTTTGCAGAAAATATGTTCAATTTTAAATCTAAAAAATATGATAAACTTAAACCTTAATTTTAGCCCTGTGGTTACCATTATATTAACCAATCAAAATATGCGGGAAGAGTAGCCTTTTTTTAGTCGTACAGAGGTTCTGTTGTAAGTTCATGTCTATACCTGTTTTAAAACAGTGAACATTATTGTGGTAATGTATAATATATTTATTATATTATACATTACCACAATAATGTAAAATATAATAAATATATTATACATTACCACAATAATGTATAATATATTTATTATATTATACATTATTGTGATAATGTATAATATATTTATTGTGGTCATATAATAAAATATCATTCTAATGATGGTTAACCTGAAATATTTCTTTTAAGTCTACATATGTCTGAACGTTATCAACCGTGTCAATTAGCACATATAAGAATTAACATCCTGTATTTTTAATTTTTTTTGCAAGCCCGCAAGGCCCTAAGGAGGATATGTGTAAACATAAACAAAGAAAAATTTCCTTCTCTCAAGAAAATATTCTGTTCCCTCAAAATAATTTTTCATTCCTTCAAAATAATACTTCGTCTCCCGAAGTAATATTTCATTCCTTCGAAAAATAATATAATTTTTTTTCCACGAAATAATATTTTGTTTCCCAGAACTAAAATTTTATTCCCTTGTCGTTCCCTCGAAATAATACTTTGTAGATGGTGCGTCACAATGGGGAGGGGGTCACAAACATCACACATGTTTACGCCATCATCACCTGTAATAGGACTATATAAATTCCACAACATAAAAATTCAGTGTTATCATTAGACGCAGACAATTTAGGATGTTTAACCTGCCGATTTGTCTTCGACGAATCAGAGTGAATTTTCTGATTGCGTCGGTGACAGATACGTAGTGTACCGGTAGTGATTTCTGTAACAACATTATAGCTATTTTATGAATATCAGGTTTTATTAATCCTAAAAGTCATACATATTTACCTGAAACATTGTGACAGCTACAGGCGAGACACGGCCACCGAGATAAATATTTTCAAGACCACCACTGTAATATCCTGCCGAGTATATATATGAAGTCGGTGTGTACACTATGTAAAACCTTTATAGAAACACAAACAAAAAGGACATGTATTAATATTACATATATAGACTGGGTAAATTTTCCAAAAATATGACTTCGGAAGTGTTACGTATGCCAAGCTTAAAAATGACTGGAAAAGCATCAAAATTCAAAATGGCTGAAATGTTGATATTTTCCATAATTTCTACAATATTACATATATAACAGTTTTGGGCGTTAGTGTGTTACTCCAACGGCGCTTTTAAATTAGAGGCTACAAATTAACTAGTGTTTAGTAATGGATGACAACTATGATAAAAATGATTCTTATTATTTGTTCTTTAATTTCAGGTAGTAGGATGTTATAAATAACCAAAAGTCCATAGTCTATAATTTTTCCAAGATGGCTGAGAAAATGCAACCCCATTTTCATTAAAAAGTGCTATAATTCACGAATTATATATATTATACAGAGAGAAGATAAAGAGAAATTAAAAATGAGAGTGAAGAAAAATGGGAAAACGAAATGAAAAGAGAAATGAGGACTACAGGAGATGGACAGTGAAAGAGAAAAAATAGAAGTTAGAAAGAGAATTATGAGAGAGGAGAAAATAAGAAGAAAAGGAAAGAAAGTGACTGAGAATATGACAGGGGCAAATCTCAAATTTTTCAAACAGGGGGTCAGGGCACAACAGTTTCAGAATAGATGACATTAAAAATCTGGTATGCATTGACATTTTAAAAATCTAGTGTCAAAACGGAGGGGGGGGGGGAACAACATGTACACGTAACATGTATTTCTAAACTGGTCCTCAATTAGGGGTGCACTGAGACACATAGCTATTTAGATAAACCACTGGGGGAAATCCTGGTTTTATTTTAGTTAGTAGACATTTTACATGTAATGTGCTGCACCTCATGTTGAATAGAGAACATATTTTATTTTGTAATATAATGTAGTTTAAGATAATACTCTGGACCTCAGGGAAGAAAATTGTAACGAGTATCCAAAATAAAGAAAGATTCTATCTATCTCACCAATTTATGTTGTTCAGTATGAAAGAACTATAAAATTGATGAAAAAAAACTTAAATTTACTCTTAAGAATTTTCTGGTGTCTTTGGATATGTCCGAAAAAAAAAAAAAAAAAAAAAAAAGGTTGTTGTGCAATTCTTGGGGAAAGTATAAACGCATGTATCTGATGACTATCAATACGAGGACATTCTTCAATGCTAATGGTGACATCTGACCATGCATTAGTACCCCACGAGTTTGTGTTGTACAGAGTTATTCTTGTGTCTTACAGAAGGGAAAATTTGTTGCAACGATGAAGACTGCAGTAATCAACACCACAATGACACTGATGACTCAGATGATGAACACTGAATTATGGTGATAATGGGCACGCAAGCGTCGCCGGATGGGTAGTGCTACTAAAAGATATAATAATTTGAACAGGGGTGTTACAATGCAAGGTTAGCAGCCAAAAACCGCCTACCTGACACATATGGAAAGGGTGGGTGGGTAAGAAAAAAAAAGATTACCCACCTGAAACAATGATAGAGGAAGAATTTGATGTGTTTTACCAAGAGCAAACTTCTATTTCTTTATTACAAAGTATATATTATGATACGAAATTGACTTCCTTTCCCATAGAAAATGCAAATAGATGCAATCTAAGATGACGGCCATTTTGAAGACCAATATGGCAGCCATCTGAACAGATTTGAAAAATTATAATTTGTTTTGTTGTGAATGAGATCATGCATTTGGACACCAAAATCTATGTCAAGTTATGTGACATTTTAGGCTTGAAGTAGGAACAATTTTGAAATGTTGAATGTTGACAACATTGATTTTCAATATCAGCATGCCCAAATATATATAT